CACTACCACCACCTGCATGCCGCTATCACACGTGCTCAGTTACCACTCAATGACATTCAAACCACACGAGGGCTGGCAAAGACAATTATCAGCCCTGCGCACCAGGACTTTTTTGCCTATTGCTGGAGCCGCAGACTTCCCGACTCCGCAGAACCGATAGGGAAGGCCCCTGGAAAACACCGGCTTCTTCCTCCTCACCAGCTGGTGCGGGGAATAAAGGAAGCGAACAGAGCATGCAAATCTGCCCCTCCATCAAATTTGCACTTGAGTCCTTTGAGGGTGCGCTGGAAGCAATGAAGGAGAAAAGGAGAAATGAATGAAGGAGAGCGGGAAAAGGCGATTTGCTTCAGAGAAAATTCAAAAGTAATGAGCGTTAGCTTCAGAAATCCGCTAGAGAGAAACACGTTAGAGGGAGAGGAATGCGCGAGCACCACGCTGCAGCAAGGTGTTCAGACCTGAAGTTACAAGACACCAGCCAGGGAGGGGATTTTATGAGATGTTTGGGTTTGTCAGGTCCCGCGGTGGCAGCAGCAAGAGAAGCACAAATCCTTTGCCTTTAATGCAAGCCAGCACTGGGCGCTTTTTGTTCTAAACCGCGTGATTTCTAGGAGCATCCTGTGCTTGTACGGTGCCACAACAATTCATTCTGCGCGCTCTCTGCCCCGGGGAAAGAGCAGGCTCTGTTCGAACGGCATCCAAAATACAAACTGTGTGATCAGCGAAAGGCAGCTCACGCCGAAACACGGCCATCGCTTTGGGAAGCACGCGGCTGCGGCTGAAAGTAAATAACGCACTGACAACCTCCCCCCTCAACTACAGAATCAAAAGTCTTATTAATTTCATTTATTATGTCACTGTGCACGTGTCAACCAACATGCATTTATTTTCCAAATAAAACCAGCCCTTTACAGGTATATGTCACCACGGCAGCTAAGCGATGACAAAGGAAACAGGCTTCGAACAGAAAACTGAGGGCTGGGGGGACGACACTAACAATTTGAAATACCAGAAGTTTTCCCAGGAGCAAAGCTGGGGTGGTTTTTAGCTTTTTTTTCCCCCCCCTCCTCCCTTTTCCTTTGGCCCCAACAGAAAGCAGCCAGGCTGGGAGGCCGGCGGCGCTCGCCGCGCAGGGCTGGCGCCCTGAACTCTGCACATGGCGCTCCGAAGTGTAAACACATTAGCGCTTGACACAACCTTAATGACAGCCAGGTTGTAATTAAGGCTTCACAAGCCCCGATGGCTTTGTCAAAGAAAACAGGACGCAGACCTCGGCTTTGGCCGAGCTGGTGTAAATACCTGGATCTGCTCAGGTGAGCAAGAGGAGGAAGGTGACTCACCGGCCACCCCCAGCCACATTACAAGGCTGCTGACTCCCAATAAAACCCTCCCAGTAACCACCCCTGGGATTTCAGCACTCCGTCCCGGTGTTTATGTTCAAAGGAGCGGGTATGACACAGAGCTGGCACTCGGTATTAAAGGAAGAGTCTCCCAGCTCGGTGTCTTGCTGACAACAGTGAAGCCAGCCCATACAACACTGAATTACCTGCTCTTACAGCGCTCAGGCTCTGCTGAGTGTTTATTAAGAAAAACACATAAACAGCTGGCTGCAGCCTGCGCTCATTCTCTGTCAGAAGGTGAAGGCGCTTCAAATACATGAAGTTTCTTCTTGGGTCAGCCTGGCTGTTCCCCGTGCACACCGTCAGCCCTCGCACATAAATACTTTAAAACCAAACCTGAGCCCGTGGCAGGACCGGCCAAAAAAGTAGCGGCCGTGTTTCCCTGGGCTGGCCC